TTATTACCAGCTCCCTGAACAGCTTGTTCTTTTAATAAGCCGAGGCCTCTGGACAGCACATCTGCCCATGGGAGAACCCATCAGGACATGGTTAATCCAGGCAGAAAGAGCACAGAGCATCACTGCACTCACCTGACCAGGGAAGCCTTGTTTTAACCCAGGAAAGGGTTAAACCCCCCCCAAAACGCAACAGGGGGAGAGGAGCCACCTCTCTGCCCCAGCACCGATGGACCAGGAGGCCTTTCATTATCCAAACTGCTGCCCCTGGCCCAAGGAAACGGTGCTGATGACTCAGTGTTTAATGGACTGGCTGCTCCGTGCGGTGGGAGAGCCAAGCGGGCAGAGCCCAATGCAGCATCCATCAGCTGGAGACACTGCACGGGGGTGAGCAACCCAGCAGCTGGGAGCAGGGAGGCAGGCGAGCTGCTCATTTCAAGCTGTTGTTTCACTCAGGATAACCCCACTGGTTACACTCTGGGTGCTGCAGCTCAACCCAGGCTGTCTTAGACCCTTCACATCACTTGGGCAATGGGGATGTGCTTGGTTTTGACATCCCAAGCTCCCTGTGCTGGCTTCTCGCTTCTCAGGATTCAGATGTGGTGGCTTCAGGTGTAGTTGAAAAGGCCAGACCAAATAGATACCAAAAGATGCAATGCAAGGGTTAGCTCTGCCTCTTGTTTGCCAGCCCAGGATGGCAACATGCACCGGGGCAGCCAGAGCCAGCAATGGCAAGGAGCAGCTCTGCTAATGGCCTCATTTAGTCCCACCAAGATGCTGGGGCTTTGGCTTCCAGCAGATAATTAATGATGTGCTCATGAATTAGGAAGCCCTGGACCTCTACCAGGACTATGTGAAGCAATGGAGCTGCTGTTGGTTCAGAGCTGGAGCAAAGCAATGCCTTGAGCAGCAGCCCAAAGTGATGGGGAGAAGCCTTCTTTGCCTGTCCCTAACAGCAAGACCAGTTGGTCTCGGGGTACCCGGCCCCCTGAGCTGGAAGGCAGGAAGAGCAAGGCTGTGGATGTTGTCTACCTAAACTTTAGTAAAGCCTTTGGCACTGTTCCCCACAGCATTCTTCTGGAGAAACTGGCTTGGATGGGTCTTTAATGGGTCAAAAACTGGCTGGGTGGCCAAGGCCAAAGAGTGGTGGTGAATGGAGTTAAATGCAGTTGGTGGTGATGTTCCCCATGGCTCAGAGCTGGGGCCAGTTCTGTTTAATGTCTTTATCTGGATCAAGTGCACCCTCAGTGAGTTTGCAGATGACACCAGATGGGGCAGGAGTGGCGATCTGCTCGAGGGTAGGAGGCTCTACAGAGGGAGCTGGATGGGCTGGATCGATGGATGGGGCCAATAGTGAGGTTCACATGGCACTTGGGTCACATCAATCCCATGCCAACGCTGCAGGCCTGGGGAGGAGTGGCTGGAAAGCTGCTCATGGAAGAGGACCTGGGGGTGCTGGTCAAGAGCCAGCTGAAGGTGATCCAGCAGCAAGCCCAGGTGGCCAAGAGCATCCTGGCTTGTATCAGAAGCGGTGTGGCCAGCAGGACAAGGGCAGGGAGGGGAAGGTTTAGACTGGAGATGAGGAAGGAGCTCTTCACTGTCAAGCCCTGGAATAGGCTGCCCAGGGTTGAGTCACCATCCCTGGAGGTATCAAACAGACATGGAGATGTGGTGCTTTGTGACATGGTTCAGTGGTGGCCTTGGCAGCGCAGGGGGAACGGGTTGACTTAAAGGTCCAAACCTAAATGATTCCATGATTCTAAGTCCCATGCAGATGCCACAGCCCCTAATGCTGGAGCCACCCCACCAGTCCTCGCACAGGCCCCACAGTGCCTCATCTCAACACACCTCACTGTTGCTCCTGATGGTTATTTTCCCAAGCTTGGAAGTGTTAGGCCCCAAAATGGGCTCCTGGAAGCAATTTCAGCTGAGCAATCTGTAACACCGGAGCTTATGGAAGCAATTTGCAACCCATTAGCAGAGACTGGCTGGGAGGATATTTTACATGTCACACAGCCCAGCTTTGAGGGGGGCATGAATTTACCCCCCTTCGCCCCTAGAGCCTGCATGGGGCTGTGAGGCCAGACCCACCAGATGCCATGCCACATTGGTGGCCTTTCCATTTAATGTCCTATCTACAAAATGCAGCCCTGGAGATTGTAGGGCCAGGGCTCTCGCAGCCCTGGAAGGGAAAGGGAAGCAGCAGTATCCAACACCTCCAGTGCTCCCAGTACCTAAATGGACCTTTCTGAATTAAGCTGCCTCTTTTACAGCAGATAAAGAAGCAATTTGCAAGCCAAGGCTGCCTCAGAGAGAGTAATAGCAGGATATAACCCAAGAAAAGCATGGAAAAGCTCCTGGTACCCATCCGTGCCCTGGGGATGCTCTTCCAGGAGGCAGGATGGCAGTGTGTTTCTCTAAGAGGTGTGTACGGTGAAGCAGAGACAAACACTGCTTGGGAAGTGAGCAAACAGCCCCAGGTTCCAGTTATCCCTTGGCCCAAGCTCCCGAGGTGCTCCCGAGACGTGCCAGTGCCTGCCTGTCTGCTGGAGCCTGCGCTGGGAGCCTCAGCGCTGCAGCACCTTCCCTTAATTACTTTCTTCCTACTAATTAGATCTGTGGCCAGGCCTGCAGGGAGCCCCAGCTACTGCATCCCGAATCCATGCTGGGGATGAGCACCCATTCTGCACAGGAGCCACGGAAGCTTCCTCCTCCTCTTCACACCCCACTGCCCATGGCGCTCAGATCCCAGCCACCTTTCAGCCTTCAGGCCCGGTGCCTCGCTGTTAGCCATTATCACCTGGGGCTAATTGCGAGCTCCTCAGCCCCCTCCCCGCAGCCGGTTCCGCTGCCTCTCCCAGCAGGAATTAACACAACCCTCACGTGGCTCCCCCGAAAAATAACACAGAAACGCTGGCGCTCCCCACGCTCCACTCAACTCCAAGGATGCAGCTGCATCCTTCCTGGCCCGCGGCCAGCGGCAACCAACTTTCCTCTGAGTGCTCGCCTGCAGGAGAGGGTCTGGGGGTGTTCAGGGTCCCCAACAGCCCCCCTGGGAAAGGCACTTTCGAGCCAGGATGGGCAGAGGCTCTGTGCTGGGGTTCCTTGTGCAGTGGCTCACAAGTGCGGCCGCATGCGCATCCGCTCCGGCCTGAAACCCCGTCCATCCCAGGGATCCACTGTCAATAAAACCACTGCAGGGAATGGCTTCTCATCTGGAAGGGGGGAAAACCCAGGAGGGAAAGGCAGAAACAACCCCTTTTGAAATGTCCTTCTCCCTTATCCAAGCAGCACATCCCTCCCCGGGTTTGCAGGAGCCCTAATGGAGAGACAGCTACGAGCAGGCGGCTGTCATCCAGGCAAGGAGCAATGCCGACTCGCTGCAGAGCGGAGCAGGGAAGGGAAAGGCAGAGCTGGTGCCAACGGACGCACTAATGCTGCTCTCCTGGGCCTTGCAGCCACGTTTCCAAGCTCTGGCAGGGTCATCCCTGTGCCCAGGAGGCAAGCACTGGCTCATGGGGGTGTCCCTGGGCCCCATCTCCATCCCCAAGCAGGTCCCACTGCAAAACCCCAGGTTCTTGATCAGGCAAGAACCCAGTCTGAGAGAGGATGCTCCAGAAAAGGACCAAACCAAGGGTGTCCAAGACACGGGTTTTGGGGACAGGGATGCACGCTTCACCCTGCTGAACCCCAAACTGCCCATGCTCCCATTAGCCATGGTTCAGACAGGGATAACGCACTGGGAAAGCACCTTTGGGCAGGGACACAGCTTGTTGGGACAGCCCTGGGGTCTGGCTGCCCCTTTCCAACGTCGTGCTCCTACAGGACATTGGAACATTCTCCATTTCACTGCAGTCTCCTCACTGGGGGCAGTGGGCAGGAGCCTGCTGCAGCCTCTGCTCCCTGCGCCGCTGCTGGGCCCAGGTCTGCAGTGGGATGCGCGTCCCCAGCTCACCTGGGTGACGGATGAGGGCACCCCAGGGCTCCCTGGGGAGCAGACGGAGATGGAGCAGGGTTGGAGATGCAGTGGCACAGCTGAGCAGCGCTGTGCAGCCCTCATGCATGGCCCTGGGGAGGAGCAGAGCACCCAGCACCCAGAGCCTCCTGGCCCAGGCAGCAGGGAGCACCCTGGGGACAGCAGCACCCTTCTGATGCCTGTCAATGGCAGAAGGTGAAGGGGTGGGACAGGGGCAGCATGTCCTGCACAGGGCCACGGGGGCAAGCATCGTGCTGGGGACCATGCAGCAGAGAGCAGGGCTGAGCCCGGGGCAGAGGCTCAAGGCACCCATCGCCACCCCAAGCAGAAAGGGCTGGAAGGACCAGCCCCAGTGTGAGTGAGCGCCCAGCGCACCCATGGGTGAAGCCCACGAGGGTGGTGGAGGCCGTGGCAGGGCAGAGCCGGGTCAGGGGTGTATGGGGGGGTTCGGGGTGGGGGGGAAAGGGGCTGGAGCATCCTTGGTAGGCGCAGGGGGATGGGAGCGCACACGCACACACACATTACCCACATGCACACGGCAGCAGCACCAACAGCCCCTGCCAGCAGCCTGCAATCGCTGGAGCTCCTCCGCCTCTCCCTCCTCCTCCTCCTCCTCCTCCTCCTCCTCCTCCTCCTCCTCCTCCTCGCTGCCCACCGGCCTGCGGCACCCCGGCCTCCGGCCCCACCAGCGCACAGACAATGACTTCATGCGGATTATGCATCTGAAGAAAGCACCCGCTCCCAGAGAGCCACGGGGGGAGGTATCCATGTGTTTGGCAGGGAAGCAGCCTCTCGCTCGCCTTCCTTCTCCTCCTCTTTCCTCCTCACACCCCGCAGCTGCCTCCTCTCCGGCGATGGTCGCCTCCGGTCCCCCCGCCCGGCGCTGAGCGAGGCCCCGGCGCATCCCCGCTCCCACGCTTGCACCAAGGTACCACCGAGGCTATTTTTATTCCCCTCCTTCTTTTCCGGTTCGCCGCGGCTCGCTCCCCGCTCCCGGCTCCCCCAACCCAGCCGCAAGAGGTGGAGGGAGCCTGGTCCCAAGCCCCGGCATCCCCGACGCAGCGGCAGCCACCGTCGCACAGCAGAAGGAGCCCAGCGCTGGCCGCGGCCGCCGGCCCCGCTTCCAGGTTCGCATCCTCGGTTCCTTCGTCTGATTGTGGATGCGCCGGTGCCATTTGGGGAAGGCAGAGGGGGACCGGGAAGCCGGAGGGAGGGGGGGGGAGATGGGAAGGGAGGGATGGATGGATACAGAAGGATGCTGGGGGGGGGCATGGCAGCCCAGTCCTGCCATGGGATGGGGAGGGCAGAGAGGAGGTGGGAGGGGAGGAGATGCAGGAGGCTGCACCCAAATGTATATACATATATATATATGCAGACATATATGTGTGTGTATATATATATATATATAGGCTTGTGGGGAAAGCAGGGCACAGCAAAGCCTCTGCCCCATGACCTGGGTACCTCTTCAGCATCCCTTCATGGGGATGCCATGGGCCGGGCAGCAGCAGCACCCACAAGGCTGCCGTGGCACCAAGCACCCAGAGGCTCCCTTCTCCGCAGAGTGGCCAGCCCGGGGTGCCAGCGCAGACCATGATGGACCTGAAGGTGGACGAGGAGGAGGTGGACAGCGGGCAGCCCGTGAGCATCCAGGCCTTCGCCAGCAGCTCCACCCTGCACGGGCTCTCGCACATCTTCTCCTACGAGCGGCTGTCGCTGAAGCGCGTGGTCTGGGCTCTGTGCTTCCTGGGCTCGCTGGCGCTGCTCACCCTCGTCTGCACCAACCGCATCCAGTATTACTTCCTGTACCCCCACGTCACCAAGCTGGACGAGGTGGCCGCCACCAGGCTCACCTTCCCCGCCGTCACCTTCTGCAACCTCAATGAGTTCCGCTTCAGCCGCGTCACCAAGAACGACCTGTACCACGCCGGGGAGCTGCTCGCCCTGCTCAATAACAGGTGGGTGCCAGTGCTTTCAGGTGCATCATCTCCACGAGCCAGGGCACCACAGCATCCCCTTAGTCTCCATGAGGAAGCAGATCCTGGGTTAGTTCAGCCCTGTAGCTGGATGCAGCAACACCACAGAGCCACCAGGTCCTGCTTCTGCTCCTGGGTACGTGGCTCCCAGGCTGGGCATCCCTGGATGGATCCGGCACTCATCGTTCCCATGCAGCAAGGCCAAGGGCACTCTGGGGTGCCTGTGGGGCAGATCCATGCTGCGTGGCTCCAGCACCACGTCCTGCACGCCTGACACATGCAGCGAGGCTGGGGGTACCAGCAGGTGAAGCTGCAGAACATCACCCATGCCCCAGCACCAGGTTGTTGCCATTCCTTGGGCCATGGTGGCAGCATTCGCAGTGAAGCCCCTCATCCACCATCTCCAGCCCTCCCCATGGCTGTAGATGGTGCTGCCAATCCACTGCTATGAGCCTGGGGCCATCAGCAAGGCTCCTGTTTGCCAAGGGGCTTCACCACTGCCCCAGGGAGGGGGTTACATCTATGGGAGCAGGAGTTGAAACCCATCACACTCAAGCCACATCCCAGCAAGGCGACCACCTGCATCCATGATGCCACCAAGGGAATGGGGCTGGGAGGGCCTCAACCAGGGCTGGCGCTGTGGGACCAGCTCCTCATGCTGGTGAAAATGCCACATGCGAAGTGGCCAGGACTTTGCTGAGCCCACAGCGGGGTCGGGATGGAAGAAGCTCACGTGCAGCTCCAGTGGCTTGTGCCAGCCTCAGGCCTGAGCTTCTGCCTGCTCTTCCCCCCAAGATACGAGATCCCGGACACGCAGAGCGCCGACGAGAAGCAGCTGGAAATCCTACAGGACAAGGCGAACTTCCGGAACTTCAAGCCCAAACCTTTCAACATGCTGGAGTTTTACGACCGCGCCGGTCACGACATCCGCGAGATGCTGCTCTCCTGCTTCTTCCGTGGGGAGCAGTGCACCCCAGAAGACTTCAAAGTGGTGAGTGCCCCCGTGGCCCCGGCCCAGCGCTGCCTTTCATGGGCCTGGAGCTGCTCCTTTCAGCTTGGAAGGGACTGGCAGCATCCAGTGCCAGAGGGTGTTGCTGGGGCTTGAGGTCCTGGTGCTCCTCAGTGTGCTCCTTGCATGGGTAAAGCACCCCAGGGTCACTTGGGCTCTGCATGCCGGGCTGGAAACCTTGTGCTGGAAACGGCCGTGTGCTGAGGAGACACCAGTGAGAGCCACAGCAATGGGCGGTGGGGACTTGATGGATCCCTTAGGGAAAGCAGGTCCTGGTGGCACACCCGGCGTTGTGCCCCAACACGGTTGTGTCTTGTGCTTGTGCACGGATGCAGTGCACAATAAAGCCTTTATTATCCCCCTGCGGCTGCCTCTCCCCCATCCAGCTGGGAATTGAACAGCGCCGGCTATTCGGGTGCTGCCTGAGAAATTGGGCAGCCAGGGTGGCTCTTCCTGCTCTGCGCTGGTCTGGATCCCCATCCTTGTCCCCAGCATAGGGATGTGCCACTCGTGTTGCATGCCAAGGGAGGATGAAGCCACTGAGCATCCCAAGGCGCTGGCTGAGCGTCCGCAGAGCTGCTGCCCCGGTCCTGGCCCAATTTGGGTGATTTTAATCATCTGCATTCAATTCCTCTGAGAGGCTCTTTACCCAGAGCGATGCTTGTTGTCAACCAGCAGGCGCTTTATTTGTTAAATGGAGGCAAGTTGCAGCCTGGAGGGGGCTGGATCCCCTCCAGCACTCATGCAGCCACCAAAGCATCCTCAGGGACCCCTCATCCCAGCTCCCTGCCGGGGTCCACGCACCCTGCTTCCCGCATCCCCTCCAACCAGCTAAAGCAGAATAGCCTCACAGCTGGGCTGTTATTCCTGCCTGGATTATTCCTTGCAAGCAGGTTGGGATGATTTAATGGATTTGATTAGAAAAAGCTGGCTCTGTGCTACATCTCTGTTGCTCTTTGGACTCCCCTCATAGCCTTGCACGGGCAGGGATGGGGATGGTGCTGCCTGCGTGCGGGGTCCTGCCTGCTGTCACGTCCCACTTTGCTCTTCCAGAAACCTTTGCCCCATCCCCACACGGGGGTCCTCGGGTTCACAGAAGCTTTCAGAGGGGTTGGTTTGATGTTTAATGCTGGTTTGCTGCTCCCTCCTCCTGCCTTGGACCCAGAGTGAGCCAGGCTCTGTGCTGCTCTGGGCCTGATGGCACCAGTTAGGGCTGGTGGGTGCTAGGGACCATCACCCAGTGATGCCCCAACCTCCCCCCAGCCCACAACGCCCCGATGGGGATCCCCCCACCTCATGCAGGGGCTGTGTTCACATCGGGAAGCCCTTTGCATTGTGGCATGCCCTGCGGGGGTGCTTTTACAGCCACTGTCACCCTTCTCCTCCCCTTGGTACAGCAGCGGTGCCGTGTTCAGGAGGGGCCTTGCTAAGGGGGGATTCTGGGGCTCCCCAGAGCCCACGGGCCGGGGGGAGCCGCCTGCATGCACACAGGGATGTGCGTTGTTCCTATTGCCGCCATCGCCATCGGGAGAGCCGAGGGGCCGGGGGGCGATGCTGCCTGCATGCTGATGCCGCCCAGCACGGCCGGCGATGGGGAGAGCGGCGCGGCCCCGATCCGCCGCGGCTGCCGCGTTATCGGGCCCCGGCAGAAGGGAGGGCTCGGGGGAGCTGCGGCGAATGGAAATGAGGGGAACCGGGGCTCCTGCCCGTGTCCCCCCCCCGTGCGATCGCACCCATCCTGGAGCACCCCAATGGGGCTGGGGCTGGGTGTCAGCCCCATTGCCCCAGCGCATGGTGTCACCGTGCAGCCAGGGCAGGATGCCCCAGCACACAGGATGCCGTGGGAAAGCCCATCCTGGGATTAGATGGGCTTTTCCCTCCTCCTCTTTCATCCTGCATCGTCACCAGGCCACATCAGGAGGTCCCTGGCATTGCTCATCTCCCTCCATCTCCACCTACCCTGGCTGGTGCACGGCAGCAGCAGCAGCTATGTGCAGGATGCAGGGATGCTCCAGGGACACGGGTGGAGCTGATCAGGCTTGAACTCACCCTGTATAAGGCATTGAACCCTCTAAGAAGTCCCAGGGGGAACCAACTGTCCCCAGAGGGGCAAACACAAGGCTGAGGGGCAAGTCCTGACCCTTCTCAGGGCACAACCATGAGGGACACGGGCTGAGGATGCCACCATCCGCAGGGCTGTGCCCAGAGCCACACATGCAGCAGGCAGGGGGTGGCTGCCTGGTTCCCGTTGCAGGGAAGGGGGAATTGCCCTCGCTGTTGCCCCCGTTTCAGGGCCGTGCTCCCTGATGTGCCCGTTAGCAGCAGGGATCAATGGTTCACACTCGTGGCTTCATTATTCATAAGCTGGAGCCCTCGCTCCTCTGCGGGAATTGGCAGCCCTGCTGGCTCCCAGCTTGTGTTTCCTCTCCCTCCATCCTCATCCCCTATGGCTCTGCTCCTTGCCCAGCAAGTGAAAGGCCCAGCAGTCCTCTCTCTGGGCTCTAAACCCCCTTAATTGCCTTTGCATCACAGGGAATAAAGAGAAACACAGAGGCTGAGCTCCCTCTCCGTGCCCATGGGACAGGAATTGGGGTGCCCTGTGTAAAACCAGCATTAAAACTCAGGATGATGCCCCATGCTCATGAAGCCCCTTTGGGGGGGAGGGGGGGGGTCAGTGCAGCCAGGGATCATGCAAGGAGCCTGGCACAGTGCAATGAGCACTTACAGCTTTTCCTTCTTGCACTCTATGAGCCTGACCCAGGGCAGGAGCCACATCCCCAGCTCCTTGTCACCATCCTGCTTCAGGGCTGAGCCTGGCATGGAGCTGGGAGCCCTGGGGCAGAGTGCATGGGACATCCTCCAGAAGCTGCAGAGGATTAAGACCTCTGGAGCATTTCCATGAGGCTCCAAGGCTGAGCTGGCACTAGGGAGAATTGAGTTTGACATGGAGATCATGCCGCTGCCTTTTGCATTGAATTCTGCATCCTCTGCCCTGGAAATACCGAGTGGACAGAGAGAGAAGCAAGGGAGGGAACAGGAAAGGGCTGGAGCACTTCCAGCAACTCCCAAGCATCCTCCTCATCTCCAGAGCAATGCAGGAGCTACTGTGACAGAGAACAGATCCAGCAGCATCTTGCTGTACCTCACATCACCCCATTGCAACCTTCTGGACTCCACTGGACTATCGGATCCTGCTGTGCCCCTCTGCACCCCACTGTGCCCTCCATACCCTGCTAAACCCCATCTGCAGCCCCAGAGCCTCTCTGCACCCCCCGAGCTCCCTGCTCAGCTCACAGCCTCCTCACTGCAGCCACTGCACGCTGCTGGTCTCAGGGTATTCAAGCAGGGGACGCTGCTCTTTCTCTCTGCTCCATCCCAACCCTCAGCACCCACCAGGGGACCCAGGGTCCAGCTCCCAGCACCCCATGGCCCTGCATGGAGCTGCAGCAGTCACAAGCCCAGGAGCCCCGCGGTGAGCAGAGCTCTCCTGCAGCGCAGCGTTAGTGGATAATCATAGAGCTGGAGTCAAAAGCATCTCCAACACAGCTGGAGAGCCCAGCGCAGGAATCACTGATACCCACATCCTTCCTGCAGCTTTCAACAGTTAATACAAACCCCACATGGGCTCATCTGGCTCTGGAAAACCAACCCAGGAAGCCCATGCAGGCAGCAGGGATGGCCACCGGTCCCAAAGAGCATCATCCTCCTGTGCTGGGGCTGGTACCCGGTGCTCATTGAGCCCAGCAGCTCCCAGCACGGCACCCGCACGTGTACAAATCCTGTAAGACATTCAAGTGATTTATGTAAATCACTCCTTAAAGCAGCACACGGGCTCCTCAATCATTTATAAGCATTTGAAACCGCTCGTGTGGAGCCGTTCTTTCCGAGCAGCGATTCACCTCCAGCATCCTGGTAGCTCCCCCCCCGGGACCCTACAGCATCATCCCCACCTGCATCACCTGCAAGCTCCCAGCCGGGCTCCCCCTCTGCATGGGCCTCTTTGTTGTCCAACAGCAGCAGCGTTTGACCCCAGGGGTTGCATCATTTTCCAGCTGAACGAAGCAATCCCAGCGGGGCACCGGTTGCCTGGCGCGGAAGGAGCGGAGGTGATGGAGCACAGGAGCAGCAGGGACTTGGCTGTCCCGGGAAGCACAGTGGGGTCGGGAGCACCCGGCCTCTGAGGGCTCATTGGCAGCACAGAGGTTTTCCAGTATCGCTGTACTGGGCTCGAAGCAAAGCACCCAGAGAGCAGCCGTGAGCAGTTCAGCCCTTGGGCACGGAGCATGGACACCGGCGAGTGTTGCTCTGCAGCCACCTCCTTTCTGCAGCTTCATCCAGGCTTTTCCAGACACCGGTGTGAGGATTTGGGATCCTTCAGCTGCTTGTGGGGCTTTGCTCCCCCCTGTATTAACATGGAGACAACTCTGGTTGGGAGCCGGTTGCAGTTCGCACTCATCCTGCAGCGGGACAGCGATGCGCTGGTGTTACCCCAGTGCGTTTGGTGCTTGGGAGTGATGCTACTGAACCCACCACGATCCTGGCTGTGCGGGTGCAGAAGAGGGTCAGGAACCAGCAGGCTGAGGACATCGGTGCTGGGCCCAGCACGGTGGGAGGCCGACGCGTGCCTGTGCCTCACAGCTGCTTCATTAGTGGCTCTGCAACCGAGCAGGTAAATCATTTAGCACCTCCAAGCACTGAACAGCACTGCTCCCACCCATCCCAGCAGGCGGTTAGGAGAGAGGAGGACACTGAAGAGCAGGATGAGACCCAGGCATGGGTCACTGATTGCCTGGCGCTGCCCAGGGGCAATGTCCAGCAGCAGCAGCACACACAGCCGTGCTCAGAGCCACGGTACACAGCGCTGTGTGCACCCAGAGGGGTCACGCCAAGGGATTGGAGCAGCTCAGATGCACCTCAGGCCATTGATGCGCCTCTTGAGATGCCTTTGCACATAAAGAATCATTTAAAAATGAATTATTAAT